ACCTTTTAAGACCCCTGCCTCCTTATCTTATTCTTGGCAAAACGAGGATGACCCTCCCAGATGAATTTTTGGGAGAGGGGGAGAAATTTCTTTCTCTTCCATTCAGAGAAATATTGCCAGTGCTGGAGTTTGGAAGGTTGAGGGTGCAAGATTCAAAAATGGGAGAGGGGAGAGATGATGGGAGAGATCTTGTTGGAGAACAGACCCTTCCTTACACTGTGGCGTCCTTGGGGTTCTTTGAGCTTGGTTCTTTTCTTGCAAACGTTTCATTACCCAGCTAGGTAACATCTTCCGTGCTAAAATAGGCTGGGATTTGCTCTCTATTTACAGTATGTGCTGTGGCCTGCCTTGCTGGTGAGGGTGGGGGGTTTGTTTTGCTCCTCTGGTAGTTCTTTGATTAGGGAAGTCATGGTGATGAAGAGGGAAACCCTTTCATTTTTCTGGATTAAGGACTTCCGAAAAGAGGCAAGAGAAGGTGGAAAGGGCTGCTTGCTAATATTCTGTGCTTAGAAAAGCCTAGCCTCCCGTTCTTTCTAGACCTCCTTCTCTCCCCTTTGCACATCACAAGACTTCTTGGTTGGCAAGAATTGTGCCTGGAGAACAGATGGGTGCTCCCCACCCTTGGGTGCAAAGTCACACTTGGCTGATGTGGCCAGCCGGCCCCATCTTGCCCCAGATGCCTCCCCCGCGTCCCAAATGGATTGCTCCCTGATGAGAGCTGAGTCCACTCTGCACGTGCCCAAAGCTACTCTTGCTACGTTTTCCTCTTAGGTGAGATGACAGCAAATAATTGATCTATTTGCAGAACGTGGCTACCCTCTCATGTCGCAAACAGCCCAGATGGTTTGCATGAGCAAGCAGTGAAATGCCTTTGAAAGCGTGTTTAGGACGCGTACATCTTACATACTGCAGTTTGTAAAAAAGTCACTTTGACATACCTTTGCCACATTTCTGAGATGCTACAAAAGCAACTCTGAGCGTGTGCAGGGGGCCTTTCTATTATGATGAGGAGTTTGGGATTAGAAAGCTATTTGTTTCGTGGGTGTCTCTTAGTAATAAAAAATGTTGGCTGAGTTCACAAACATGCTAAACGAGGTAAAAATCTTGTGCCCCCCCATCATCTAAGCACCTGGGAAAACAGGATTTATGCTTTGTTATCCTGATGAGTGGGGTTTAGTAGAAGTTTTATTTATTATGTGCCTAAGTGTGGCACAGACATAGCTTCAAACAACGATTGATACAACAACATATTACAATCAGGGCATCCATGGGAAGCATTAAAAAGTCAAGATCGCAGTTGTCATCTTGACTTTTTTGACCCCTCTCTTCACCAATGTCCCTGCAATCAATTATCACACACACACACAAAATTTATTATGTGTTAATATATAATGTATATAACATTACTATATAAACTAAGCAGCCTCTAAATTGAAAGGTCTAGGGCAGTGTTTCTCAATCTCGGCCACTGTAAGATGGGTGGACTTCATGGCTGGCTGGGGAATTCTGGGAGTTGAAGTCCACCCATCTTACAGTGGCCAAGGTTGAGAAACACTGGTCTAGGGCATATAATAATATTAACCATTATACATTCCAAGTAATAGGCATGCATTAATCAATTTATTTATTTTAAAGCACTTTCCCCAAGGGGGTTGTGGGGAGAACACATGAAAAGGCATAGCTTTCCTGTTTTAAAGTTTAAGTGACCCAATTCCAGGCGTAATCCGGCAGGGAGTCTGTTCCAAAGAACTGTTGCCAGGTGAAAAAAGTTCTTAACCATGAAGTAAGCTATTCTAGTGAGACCTAACTATACATCCTCCATCCTATCCTCTCTTCCAAGCCTAACCACTAGACTCGATTTCCCATTCAGCATCCAAGAATGTTTGAGGTCAGCCTCTGAGCGGATCCTACATTTCGTCCACCAGAGCTTGAACGCTGTTGTTTGGTGCCCTTGGGCATGCAAAATTCATGGGCAACCATTGTGGCTTTGGCCATGAGGGGAGTGCTTTCCACTCCCTGCAGGGTAACATCCCTGTTCCCTAAATTGGGCTTGGAGTTTTGGACGGGACACGAACAAGGAAGAATCAGAGCTTGGCACGGGGTTTGCTTGCCCGGTTGACCCCGGGTCTGGCTCCGTGTGCTTGAGATCCCCAAGAACCGCCAGTCTGAATCAACTCTGCCCGACTAAAGGGATTGTGGGCTTGACTTTCTGGAAGGCAGCCTCCTCCTGTCACAACTTAAAAAGCGAAAGATTAAAACACCACGTTGCATTCCCATCTCATTCCACCCAGCATGCCACAAAACCTCACAGCTAGCAACACTGTGTGCCAGGGTTTCTAGACCGGTGGCAGATGGTTTTGTCTGCCTAGCTCTGCCTGTTTGGCCTGAAATGATCAGAAATGGCAGATGCTCCTGGCTGCATCATTCCCCCCTCCCTTTCCTGGCACGGCTTCTTTGCTCTGAACCAGTGTGCGCGCCCAACACCCAAAGATCGCACTGTTTTGAGCCTCTAGCTTGCTGCTGTAGCTTACAGCCCTAGCACCACGCCCTACTCAGAGGAAGACTCGAATCTGTGCGCTGGATGAATGGCAGCGATCCAAAAGATGTCAATCAGCAATTACACAATGCCACAGAGGCTAAGGCCAGGGCAAGATAAATCTTTGCAAAACCTGCGTTGCTAGCTCAAGGCATTCATTTTGACCAAAGTCTAGAATTTGGGGCATGGCAATCAAAGAAGATCTGTTCCCAATTTGTATCTCTTAAACAAAACCAACCAGGGCAAGAAAAGCACATGTTTCCTTTGAGATTGAAGAGGCGAGCTTCTTTGTTAAGGGTAAACTTTGCAAGATAGGAGTTGCAAGAACTCCCTGAGAAATAAGCTCTTCTGTAGGTTATTCGAGCTAAGCCAAGGAGAAACCTTGGACTGTATTAGCCGAGCCATCCAATTCCGACATTGATCTTTGATCCGGCACATTCAGATAAACGCGGGATTACCTGAGTCCCCAGAGTTTGCAGGAATTTCTCAGAATAAGCAGATTACAGATTTACTACAAGGGGATCTTTCTGAATGAAACTGGAACACCTTTGTACGTTGACTTTTTCAAGGTCCTGATTAACTTTGTCACATTTTGGGGGGCTGGGACTGGGGTGGGTTTGGCCTGCAAGGAGATGTTTGTTCAGGCTGAAAGACCGCAATAGCAATGGCTGCTAGTCGGAACACAGAACATGGGTTAACTCAACCAGCAAGTTAACTAGGTTGTGCAAACATAGCTACCATTTAATGGTTTCGGGTTACAATTTTATATTCGTTCAACCAGGAATAAGCCCTGATTCTGGGCTTTATTCTATACCAGTGTTTCTCAACCTTGGCAACTTTAAGATGCGTGGACTTCAACTCC